CCCATCTGGTGTGATCCAACAGCTTTAGAGGCTAAAAATTAATGGCAGGATAAAGCAGGCATTGTGACATGGGAGGATGCACCTCGATCAGGCAAAACTGGAAAACCCAGAAATCTGCAGACAATGCCAGCCAGTGCTTTCTAAAGCACACTTCCCAAAAACATGCCTTGAGGGCATGGATTCACAGTCCACAACCCCGAGCATGTCCATGAGCCCAGAAGGAAAAGCAGGACCAGAGAGGATGTCAGCTGCCTTGCTGCATGGCTGTGCAAGTCCAGAACCATCAGTCATGGCTGGAGGAACAACAGAACCATCTGGGCACAGCTCTGGAGACAGCAGCAAGGCAGCATGAAAAGAAGAGGAGTCAAACAGCAAAAACAGAAGGTGCTCTCATCTTAATAAAAGGATGAACCAGCTGGTCACAGGAGCCAGAGCAGCTGTGCCTGTGAGCCAGCTATGCCCACCTTCCTGGACGTCCCTCTGGACAGAGCACCTTCCCAGCCAATACCACGGGCATGGGAAAAGGTAAGGGAAGGAGGAAGCCCCCCCAGGCATCACAGCAGTTCAGCTGGAGGCAAAGGAGTCACCTGGGAAACAGGCAGTCACACACACGGGTGACACAGCCTTTGCTAACTGCTGCACATGATGCTGGGCTCTAGTCCTTGCTCCTCCTTAGGACACAAGGAGCAGAGAGCCCTGGGTTTATAAATTATTCTCACTGGAACCAGAAAGATTGGAATTTGGTGGCCATTTGTTGCTAGCTTTTGACAGAAGAGCAGCCAGCACTTCCTGGATTATGTGGGGAGCTGGAGAACCATGCTTCCCTCTTAATGTCTCTGAGAACCAAGAACTGGGGAAGGTCCTCACTCTCTGCAGGTGATGAGACCTCCACGGTCAGAAAGAACAAATGAGGGGGAAGCCAGCTGAGAAAAGGGCAGTGGGGACTTGCAGGCCAGTCAGAGGAGAAGAGAAAGCACACTGGACTTGGAACAAGCCATCATGAAAACAATCCCAAACTTAATTCGCTTGGATAGGACATCACATAGTGCTTAGAAGAATTAGCCCTTTATCTTTGCAGACACAAGAAGCAAGAACTTGTTCTGCCATTGTGCAGTCCCTGACTCCTTATTTCTTTGTTTCTTTTTTGTTTGTTTTTTGTTTCTGAAGAGTGAGCAAAAGAGGCGTCGTTACAGCTCACCATGGAAACTGCGGCTGTGGACAAGGAATGGCTGATATGTCCTCGGGATGTCACCCTCTAGCAGGTGGCCAAAAAGACACCACCCTGTACCCAGGACCAGTCTGGATGCAGCCGTGCCCCACTCTGGAACAGCTGGAAGCCAGGCTCCCTGGCAGGGTTACCCCTGAGGCAGTGACCCTCCAGCTGCCCCGGGGAGCAATCCTTGCCTCGGTGCTCCCCCAAAACAGATCATCAAAGGAAGTGGAGCTGCTTTCTTGGAGAGAAGCGGTTCCAACTGGAGCTGCAGTTGTCCGTGGCCAAGCTTTCCCATTGTTATTTTACAGTCGCTTGATGTTCTGAAAGATATTTAGAAAAATGACTTTAACTGTCCTGTGCCAAACTGGGTGAGGGTGAAAAAAAAATGAAATTTGGCAGGGATGTTATTCATTCAGCATGTAGCTTGGATGACGTCCAGTGACTAACACAGGAGTTTTAACTGATCTGGGAGACTAAAAACCATTCACAAATAATTTGATTTAGGGTCACTGTGATTTCTTTTTATAAATAATTTTCATTGAGAAGTATTTTTTTAATTAGGATCGACAGATCCTAATAGCAACGCTATTGTGTGCGCCGCTCATCATTCCCATCTTCCTAAATGACTTTCATATGTTGTGTGCTGGTTTCTTGTTTGCTGCACACGATGGGGCTTGTTCACAGGGTAACCAACGCCTCACGGCAGTGGACGAGCCGTGCTGAACTCCTCTCTCCAAAGGCACGCTCCAAGGAGGACTCAGATGGAAAGCAAAGGGAGCTTCCACCATCCTGTTACATGTTCCTGCTCAGGGGCTAGTCTGAGCCTTCACCCAGCCTCAGACATCCCCCGTGGCTGTAAAAGCCTTCTGAGTGCTCTGCATCTGAAAGACGGCAACAGCAACTTGGCTTTGGTGCTTCAGTGCTCCAACTCCCATCACGGCACAGGAAGTTCTCTGAACTTCCCTTTTCCCCTTGTCCGTGGTGGAAAGAATTCTTGCCGGACAAGAATGGGACCAAGGGAAATATCTGACACAACTTGGAAAAGTCTAAACTCAGTCACCTCCTAACCCAGCAGATCATCCGACTCAGCCTGAGCAGATCTGGGAAGACTGCAGGAGAATTCCGACATTCGGATGAGAGAAGAATGACTCGGCGACTCAAATGAATCTTGCTTGGCAATATCCTCTGTGTGTGACAGCCTTTTCTTTGACTTGCACAATAACAATTGCAGCCCAGCCACTTCAGCTGCTAATCTTATCTCTTGTTTGAATGGCTCTTAGCTTGCCTCCTGTTGATTATAAATGTTTGTACAAGTTCTTGGAGTCAGCGGAGTTGTTGTTTCGTAGCTGAATTGCAGGCTGGGGCTCCAAACTTTGAGATGCTCACAGTAATGATCAGATATGTTCTTAAAAGCCCACTGAATTGGATTTCAAAACAAAAGGCCCATTGATCTTAAGCCTGAAATCCCAGCCACAACTCTTAAAATTTCTTCCCTTGTCTTTCCAAGGAACTTAAACTGGTGTGAAAAATGACTACAACAGTCAAAGAAAGGAGGATTATCTTATGAGAGGAAGGTAACTAAATTTGGTCTCATTTAGGCTATCAGAACAGTGCTGAAGGGGGTATAATTGCTACTGAGATACACACGGAAGGAGAGAAACTGCTAGAAAATCTTGTGAAATCTCCAAACTGAGAGTTGTGGGGCTGGACATGAAAAGATTTCTGATTTTCAGAGCAAAGAGGTCTGGGATGTGTTTCAGCAGAAGCCACAGAGGCAGTGCAGTGTGCAGCCTGATAACCATGTGGGAGCCACTGATAGGACTGCAAGAGGCAGGACGGGCAGCATGTGACCAGGAGCTCCTGCAAGATCCCAGTCCAGCCTTTGCCCTGTACAAGGCCAAACCTGGACAACGTATGGAGAGACTCCCCTGGCTCCTGCACTTATCCATCACCCTGGTCCATCCTATTTTGCACCTTGCCTCATTCAGCAGCCATCCCAAGCTTGCCTTGGCCACATGATCTTGTTTTAGCATTGGGCAGACCAATTTAAGTTCCTCTGGGTCCACAGGATGGGCTGCTGTGGTAGAGCTTCCACTGAAAAGATTGTCTTCTGGGAAGAAAAACACTTTTTTCCCTTTGTTTTGTTTACTTTAATAGGCAAATGCCTTATTCAAGCCAAATTCAGGCACAAAATCAGAGCATTAGGTAGTGGCTGTGACTTCCAACACTAAAAGGTGCTGGGCAAGCAGAATCCCACAAAACATCAACCCACCAAAGCCCCGACACTGGCAGGTTGTTCCCAGGATTGTTGGTATCCACATGAAGCACATCCACTCCTGAAAAGGTACCACTGGCCTGTGCTGGGAGGAAAAATAACCTCTGCTGCTGGCCAGCATCCTCAGCACCAGCAATTTTCACTGCACCCCAGTCAGAGATAGACTGGGCACGCACCCCCAGGGCACAAACACAACTCCTCATGCACTTCCCAGGTCTACCGCCTGGATAAAGCATGGCTCATCCATAAGGACACCTGCTGGTGACAGCAACAGGCCGCGGGTTAGGTTGTTTGATGTCATTTGACTTGAAGATAAAAAGAGCAAATCAAGAGACAGGGGTTGCCAAAGCCCCAGCCTGCAGCCTGCCATGGGGGCACCGTGGCGATGCCAACCTGGACACACAGTTCCCATGCCAGGAAACACCCAGGACAGCTCAGGTGGTCTGAAAATCAAACCCAGCATCCAGGGAGAGCACAGCACATCCCAGCACTCCAGGCTTTCTGACAGCTGGCAAGCTGCAGCTCAGCCAGGGCTGAAATATTGTTTCTGTGGTAAAAGGAAACTGTTTCTCTGGGTATTTGTTTTATTACCCATGGAGTCGGCATCACCACGGCTTTAACCACAGCCATGGGGCAGGCCGGGGGTTCCTCCTGGCTGAGCATCCTCTAACGCAACAAGATGTCTCAGCAGTTCACTCCGTCTCCTTGAGAAAGCCATTTGTGTGCCAAGCACATTCCGCAGGCCACCCCAAAATTCACCTCATAGCGCCACTCTTTGTGCAACACTTGCAGGATTTTTGGGATGCTAAAGGTACATCCATGCCTTCCCCAGAAGTCAGCAATCCTGGAAGCAGCAGGCAGGGAAGCAACTTCTACCCAGAGCAATCCTACCAGTTTGCTTCCTGACCTGCAGCATCAGGAGAAAACATCCTTACTTGGGCTGGAGCTGGCTTAAAATTGAGGGTTTGGAAACAAGGACTAGAAGCTAAAGCATCCCCTCCAAAACCCACCCCCAAACCTCCAAAACCCACCCCCAAACCTCCAAAATCCACCTCCAAGCCTCCAAAATCCCACCTCCAAGCCCCACCTCCAAACCCCCGCTGCGGGAGGGCGCCCGATCCCCCCGCTCCCCATCCCCGCTGCGCTCCGAGCCTCCAAGCCCCGCGCCACGCCATAGGCCTATTAATTAACTTCACCATCAACCCCGAATAAACACATATCCCACCCGGGCATCCCGGGCATCCCACCCGGGAGGAGGGCCCGCTGCCGAGCGTTCTCCCGTACGGTTCGCTGCGGGGAGCACGAACCCGGCGGCTCTTCCGGGCCCCGCCGGCTGCCCCCGGGGTGCGGGAGCGCGGGTGCGGCGGGGCCAGCGGCGGGGCCAGCGGCGGGGCCAGCGGCGGGGCCGTGCAGCGCCGGTGCCGCC